AGGTGTAGCGTGTGGGCCCTTCATAACTGTGTTTGTAATAATGGCCTCCAGTGAGCGAATATTTTCAGATCTCCCATTTCATGTATTTTTTTTCTTTTATAGAGTGACTGGTGCCAAAACTAGCTCAATAGCTTTTTTTTTTTTTTGTGCCCTTCACAAACTGCAGCCGCATTATTGAATCTTTTGTTTAACGTATACTACCCATATGCAGCTGGCCAGCCTATTCACAGAGTTGAAGCTGTTTGTCTACGCTTCGCAAAAGGCACACGGCCTCAGTTTGAAGTCAGTAGGAGTGACTTCTTACCCCGCCTCTGCCTCTGTCTCAGATTCATCTGCATGGCGTCCATTTAAAAAATGTCAGTGTGGTTCCAAGTGTCAATGCGTGATCCCCAAAGACATCTACGTCTGTTCACTGGTGACTGCGGAGTCCTGGGTTAGTCGCCATGCAAGCTTCTGGAGTAGCAGCATTCTCAGACACATCTGTGTGTCACGCGCTAGGACATGTGCAGAAAGCGATCCCTTCGCAAATGATTGTCCTGTTCACAGTTTACAAAACGCTCGTTCCTGAATAAAACCCAAATGACAACATACTTGGCTCTGAGCTTGAAGCAAAATTTTCGAACAAAGAATGCTAATTTTTAAAACTGGAAGCACTTTTTTAAAATCAAATTAACCGATGTCTAAATTGGAAAACAATAAAATTAATTGAACATGCTTTTGAGTGCTAGACAAGATTTTGCAAACTCTTTCCCTCCCCTGTAACACTTCAACAGACTCAGCTTCCTTCCCTAGGAAACAAACTGCTCCATGCAAAGATCTCTCGGCTGTACGTCCCAAACTTTTGCTGCAGACTTACCTGTGGGTGCTACAGAAAAACGTGGAGAGAGGGGCGACGAACGAATATAGATTTCTATTCCCAGTCATTTTGCTCTTTTCCAGTAGAAGACATGCTCTCCTTTTGAATATGGAAAACTTCTGGAGACTGAGTCTTTTCCTGTGGCTGAACCTTATGCACCACTGCCACTGCCTGGGCCTGGTTTCAACTGTCAAACATACTGCTACCCTTCCGTTCTTCCCACATCACTCAATTTTCCATCATCAGGCAAGCAAGATTCAGTTATCCTTCCCGTCCTTTGTATGTGCATTAATTTGCACACACATGCACCATATGTATACCTGTATAAAAATGCATGTCTGCTATTATGTACACGAAAGTCACCATTTGTCAGACATTCTAACTGGTATGCCTGCTCTTGTAAGAAAGCTTCTGCCTTTTCTATCCCAAATAGTCCTATGCCAAGCCAATCAAAATAGAGTGCTTAGGCTACTTCTTTCGTTGTTTTTCAAACAGCATTTAGTTTATGTGTATGGATATATGGGATGTGCACACATTTTATCGTTAAACAATTCCCCACTCTGACAGTACCTATTTTCTACCCTATCAGTATTAGAGAACACTTCTGTTTCTGGTCTACTTGGCTGATAACTCTCAGACTTGTCTTTTTCCCTCATGCCGGTCCGCAAGTGGATTTCCCATGCAGACCAATTGATATCTTAGAGCCCCTGTGTCTTCTCTTTTTGGAAAAGAGGTACTGCTCCATTTATGTAGCTCTTCTTTTGTATTTTTTATAATGTCTTCAAAATGTTTTCTAATAACCTAGCTTCACAACATTTTACTACATTTTTAAAATATACTCCTTGATATCTATTTAAAGATTTTGTTATTGTAAATTGGATCTTTTCACGACTTTACTTGATTATTGCTGGTGATGTTGAAGAAAGCTGTTGGGTTTTATATGTCGCTACTTATCAAGAAATCTGGTAAACACTTATTGCCTCTCAGATGGCATGTGTTTCTATATATAATAGCTTGCTAACTATAAGCAACAGTTTTGCTCTTTACTGACTGAATTCTTTTTATCTCATTTCCTCCTTTTGGTTGTTTAACTGTTGGAACTATTGAATATCATCATTGTGGAAATCCACAGTCCCATAAGGATGGACTAGCTGCCCAAGCTGCTGGGACTGCCTTTCAAAGACTGCTTATGTTGCAAAGTAACCAACATCAGACCTTTCTTGGAGTGGTCCACATTCAGTGATTATAGATCTTGCCCCACCTTATAGACAGCACCAATGAACACTCCTATCTCTATAACTGACTTGGATTGGCCGAGGACCTTGTTGCCCCGACGTTAACAGTCAACATTTCTCTTGTCACATTTGGCTTCCTATTATCAGTGTTGGCTAAATGATGCTTCTGGTCAACATACCAAAGGTTAAACTCCATCCAGAGGTTGCTCCTTATGTGTTCTAGCCATGATGTAATCATTGTGGGCAGCCTTAAATTTTGCAGGCAACGTCTCACTCCCGCAATCAGAGTGGTGCTTACAAGCTGTAGAGGTTGTCATATGTGTTCCAGTGTTGACAACCTGTTTAATAATTAGTACATTACATTCCGACGTAAAGAAAAGATAGTGAACAGATTTAAGGTAGGTTGGAAATAAAAAGGGAAGACAGAGATAAAGACTCGGGAGGCTAGGAAAAGAACGGCAGCAACAACCAGATTTGGAAAACAAGAAATCCAAAGCTAAAGGGGGCATTGCTGTGTCAGTGAGCTCCCCACCGCCTTGTCCCACTACCATGAAAACTGACAATCCTCTGCTTAGAGGTCAGTGCTGTCCTCTTTTATTCAGCCTTATTTCTTTATAGTCAAGGTCTAGAAATCAGTGCTTTCCCCCCATGCTTGCTGCCAGAGGCCCATGAGTTTGGGTTTTTTAAGCAGGGTGGGCGCTCGTCCCTCACTAGGATTTTTGAAGACAGGCTCTCTCTGAGCAGCGGAGAACTCTAGTGCTGGACTGCCCAAACCATGAAAAACATACAGGGTAGCATCAAAATTTGTATGTGTAGATGGAAATGTGCTGGCAAATGTTTATCAGCTGGGGACCTGAAGAATGGCGAGTAGCTTTCACCGGTTTCTCGCATGAACTGCTCCTGCCATGGCCTGTCCTGTGTCTGGCTGCTAGTTTAAAATGCTTGCCTCAGAATGGGAAGGGATGGAGCAGAATCCTCTCTGAGAAGCTGATCTGAACTCCCGGACGCCACTGCAGCAGTGTGAGGACCATTGTAAGCCAGATCTCTCCCTTATAAAAAAGTGACAGCCAGGTGTGTATATTCCCCTTTCAGATGGCCTTCCCTCACCATGGAAGGAGTGTTTCTACTGCCCCTGCCTTCCAGGCCTGCATCCCTTGCTTCCTTTGGCTCTCTCCAACTGGGTATACAATGTCTCTTTAAGCCACAACAGCTGGAGCCTCTGAACAAGTTCCTTCCGTTATTGTGACCCATGGCTTTTTCACTGATACTTTGTGCCCACCACAAAATTCCCCTGTCAGAATCAGCAACATCTTGTACTATTTTAGACTAGACATTCTCTTCTTGTTCATCTCAATCTCTTCTAGTTTTTCAAACTTACTTGTGTTCATTAATGTGTAGCATACGCATAGTGTTCATGATTGCATGTATGTTTGTGTGTGCGCACACGCATATTGGCACTGAGTTTCCACACATAAAGTGATCTCTCCCTTTTTTCTCTTCACACACACACACACACACACACACACACACACACACACGTGTGCGCACATGCACACATGCACGCATGCACACGAACTTAAAATTAAAAGTAAAAACCTAAAGAAAAGCTCCAAAACCTGATATGAAATAAGAGAGGACAGACAGAGGGCTGGTTTGTGAATAACTGACTCATGATAAAGAAATAATTGACCCAAATTGGAAAGATACTTATGAGAGTTTTGAAAAAGAGCACCCTTTAGCTTGGGGTTGACTCGTAGCCCACAGCTATAAAGTCATGCCTTTGTGTGCCGAATTCTGAGCCAGGACACATTAAAACAAGGACAAGAAATGTTTATTTATAGGCATCCATAAAGTGAAACCCTCAGCTTCAAGATCAGACTGGGCCGGTCAGGGGCAGCTAATTCCTGCAAATACCTTGTTACTCATTGAATGTAAATGATCTACTTCTCCATTTTTATCATGTTTGCACAGAGATATTTTTGCGGTGGCTGGGTCCAGGTTTATGTGGAGTTTTAATCTGGGAAAGTCCAGAGTTTTTCACTCATATGCTAAAAGGTCAATGGTGAAACCAGGAGCCAACCTATATGCAAGTTTGATCAAGGGTGAGGTAACTGATTTCTGTAGTTTCCTTAGACACATGTCATCTTTAGACAAGAAGTGGTTTCTCGAATTGCAACTAAAACAAGACATTTTGGTGAAGGAGACAGCAGTGAAAGCCCCGGATCGTGTCCTCTGCTCCCCTCACAGCTGTCAAGGGAACACTTTGGAGACAGACAGGGCAAAAACGAAAGAAATAAGCAGAACCCCAAAGCCACATGGCATTCTGTTCAATGTCCTGTCAGCCATGGAAGAAGCCTTCAAGCATTTCTCTTACTTTACCGGTAAGATCCTGAATATCAGCAGATCAGACCTATTTACCTGATACCAACTAAGCCAGAAAGCTTCTCCGGTGGTCTCGGGATCTGGCTTATCCTCAGCCTGGTTGAATACTGAACTTTCTCTCCACAGTAAAAACTCATTTGCTTGTTGATTCTACAAAAGCAAGTTTGGCTTCCACTTTTTCGTGGTGATGTTTATACATACATACATACATACATACATACATACATACGTGTGTATACACATAAATATAAACACCTACACATATATGTGATTATATATATGTATATGTGTGTATATATATATATATATATATAGTCTTACAACTTAACACCTGTAATTGATGATTTTAGCCTACATGGGTTAGAACATGAGTTTGAGTATAGAACTACATACTAATCATATGACCTTTGACAAATTTACTAAACTTGTGACATCAGCCTCCTCATAGATGGAATGGAATGATAGTAGCATGATTGTTATTTTAAACGTTTTATTTTATTCTAATTATGTGTATATGTGTGTGTGTCTTTATGTGGGTATGTGTACGTTAGTTTAGGTACGCATGAGGCCAGAAGAGGGTGTTCAATCCCCTGGAGCTAGGGTTCCAGGTGGTTGTGAGTTGCTAGATGTAGGTGCCAGGTACTGATCTTGGATCCTCTGCAAGGGCGGTGTGAGCTCTGAACTGCAGAGCCATCTTTCCAGCTTCATTAGGGTGACGGTTAAGTAGATAAACCCACTAGAGTGAGCAGTGTAATTGCCAGTCTGAGTAGAGGCATGCCCAAATGCCCAGATGTCTTTGCATGGGAATGCTGTGGCTCCAGTCTCTCAGGAAGGAGCTTCTGAAAAATGAAAAAAAGAATTCACAGGTCTCCTTGAGGAAACTGGCCCAAAGGAGAGGAAATTTTCCTTTAGATAAGTGTTTTGTTTGATATAGGGAAGAGGCATTTGGCAGGACTAGATTTTCTATGCCAAGAAGAAAGATGCTTTGCATACCTGATAAAATATCGCTAGCATGCGTGGAATTTCTCCACCACAGAGCTCTAGCTGAGTTGGAACCCACTGGCATTACAGCAAGCAGTCAGCTCGCGATCAGGAAGAAAAATGTGTCCTCTCAAAGGACAGAACAACCGAAGACACCAGATGACTTATTCAGCTCTACAAAAACTACTTTATCACACAGAACCCTCCATACAGATAGCCTGGCCAGGCTATAGTAATATTTTTTTAAAGTTTTTGTTTGTATATCTATCAGCTTGATTGGTTTCTCACCAACATCCCAAGGGCAATTTATATTCTCCTAAAGAACAGAATTTCACGGAAAACAAAATATACTACACGCTTTAACTGAAACCTCTGCATTTCCAGCCTTTGGCTTTTAATTGAATGTTCACATTTGGTAGTGTTTTGCATCCTGACAGCCGACTTGAGTAGTCAAAATGGAGTAGGACTGGGAAACTCAGAAGCCTCAAGTAAGATATGTTACCTTAACAGCACACAAATGTAGCAAACGGTAAGCATTTTCCGTCTGGCTGAAAGGCTGGTGGTCTCTTGGGCATGAGAGTAAGTTTTCTTACGGAAGAGAACACAGGCATTCCTGAAACAAAACCAGAAATGAGGTGAAGAAATGAGGTGCACTCTTATTCTCTCCTTCAGGGCCTTTGAGAGTTCCCCTTTCTGTATCTTGACATCTCTGTAACAACTGCCAACAACCACAGGACAGATCACGGTCCCAGAAGCCGGTGTCTCAGAGCTGTCGGCACGCTTCCTTCTCATCCAAAGCTGCTTCTTACAACATGCTTACAGACACGTTCATCTTCATCTGTGACCTTTTCTCTTTATAGCTTCTACAGCCAAGTGATAAGGAAGCTTAGACAAGTAAATAAAATCAAATGTGCAATGTCAACCCAAGCTAACAAATAGAGACTAGAATTGCCAGGCAATGGTTTAAAACAAAAACAAAACAGCAGCAACAGCAACAACAACCAAAAACCTTTGCAAGTGACCAATGAGAAACAGATTAGCTATCGATCTATGTAGGTTAAAACCAGGTACAACCTCATATTTAAAGAGACATGGTATTCTTCGTCCCCAAATCTTAAAGCCCATTCACCAAGCAAACCAAAGCCCTTTCCTTTCTATAAGATTGAAGAAGACTCTGAGGCCCCTGGAAGGCGACGGTGGTAAAAAGTTCCTACTGTGGATCTGACTGAAGACGGATATTCAGTTCCAGGAGGACTGAGCAAGTGCACACCCCTTCTCCACTGTAATAAGTGGAAAAGTGCCCCGCGCTCTGCTGGGTGCCCAGGGAGCGTGGTGGTGAACTGGAGGAAGACTGACCGTGTGCCGAGCATCCTTAGAGTGCATCCTTCACCCACCTCCCATGGAGGTAACATTACTAACTTCATGGTTAGACACATTTCCTCAGGCAAGGGAGATTCTGGGGTGGCTCTGGTGGCAAAGCCAGTAACCAGCCAATGGCTTCCATTTGGTCTGTTGTTTTTCCTTAATATTTACATCATTTTAAGGTGTGTGGGTGTTTCGTCTGCCATATGTGTGCCTGGGACCCATGGAGATCGGAAGAGGGCATCCTCTGGAACTGGAGTTAGGAAAGGGTGTGAATGGTCGTGTGGGTGATGGGTATTGAACCCTGGCCCTCTGCAAGAACAATAGCTCATAACAGTGGAGCTCTATATCCATCCCCTTCATTAGTCTTAAGGTGAGTGTCAATGTTTTAAATAGTAACCTTCTGCAACCAAACTCCATATCCATCAACATCCTTTATTAAGTTTTGTGTTAAACTCTGCATCCCAGACACAGTGACAACTGTGGTATCATGGAGAAGAAACGATTTTCAAGTGGGGGCATTCTTTTATCCTCTCTCAACAGGAAAATTAAAAATGTCCCCATCACACAATCATCCCCTGAGTGAGCTCACCCTTAATCTTCTTGATGTTTACCTTGAAAACAGCGCATTTGTGTACCGATACCAACAGGGCAGCGGCATTTTCTTGGCTCTAAGGCAGAGGAAGCTCTTGACAACAATACATCCTGAAGAAGTGGGGATATGGTAGAGCCCCCCGACTGGACTGATAAGGAAGCTGAGAGAGGCAAAACACGGGTGCGTGTTCAAGGCTTTACGGAGCAGTTAACCTTGGGACTCACCTGTGTGTACAGATAAAGCAGCGGCTTCTGGTCAGCACATTTATAGAGCTTTCCAAATCCCTGGGTTTCTTTCTCCATTTGTGCTTTTATCTCTCTCTGAACTTTATGTCCGGGTTCTGTCTGCTGATAGTCTTTACACACAGAGACTGCCACGCGATTAGACAGGGAGAAGTCTAAAGGTTCCCTTTGTCATCGCTGACGTCTGAAAGTCTTTAATAGAAGCGCATAGCTCCCACCAGCTAGAGAGCAGCAGACAGTGCCAACTTCTCCCCCCCACTCCCCCCCCCACACACGAGTGACAAACGTTTTACAAATCACAGCCTCCAAAGAAGGGACAAGAAACTGTCAAAGGCTCTGGTGGAAAATAATCAGCTAACAGTTAGGTGTTCGTTACAGACTCAGAAAATCTCAACACTTCATGGGAGGCAGTCAGCAAGCTGGGGGCTCTGGCTGTATAGCTGCACGCCATAAAACACTAGTGTTACAGTTTTAGACAGAAGATGAAGAAGAAAACACAGGAAATGCAGACCTATTTGCGTCTCCCTCTGGGCGGAGGGATTTTAATACCACAGAACACTTCACAAAAGGCAGGAAATGACGATGCTACGGGGAAAAATCATTCATATTGAAAGAAGAAAGCAAACAATACAAAGTCACAAGAGATGGCTTGCTCCCACTTGCCCAAGCTCTGAGGACTCACCTTGGCAATTCTGGTCTTTGTGTGCCTGGGTGCTCCGTGGCATAGGGTCAAGCTATCCGAATTCTCTGGGTCTGGAGAAGGCATTTCCAATTGGAACATTGACAGCCTCAGCTACTCAGCAAGAGCCCATGTAGGTTTAAATTTTTTCTGTGAAGACTGTTTTCTGGCTGCAGTAATCCTAGCCAGAAAACAGTATGCCAGCTGTGATCCTTGCTCTCACGGGTTCTTCATCTGATCAAATAATCAGGTGAAAGCCACTTCTAAATACTGATGTAGAGTGCGGGCTCAATGCAGAGCCTTTCAAATGTGAGTTGCCATAAGGATGCTTCTTTTGAAAGATGTCAAAGTGTTAAAAAAAAATCAAGGAAATGAAAAGAAATACAGCTTTTTAATTAGTGTAGTAATGGGTTGGAGTGGGAATGGGAAAGTCATGTGATGTGGACCAGAGTGGTGGTCACTTGTAGAGAAAGCACACTTCCAGATAAAACGGTACCTTGGACTTTAGGATGTTTGAAACTTTTACATAGAGTACTTTGTCATCTTAATAAAAAGCCCAGCTTCTAATATTTATAAGGGAATTTTAAAGTTTATCATAGATTATATAGATAGAGAAATTCCAAGGAGTAACTAATTATTGCATTTCAATCACTTTCCTCTTCTGACAGTAATTCAGTATTAATATCATTAATAATTAGTATTAGTGTTACTGTCAGTACTGAAGGGCCAGCCTACAGCTTCTCAAGCCAAATTCATGCTGTGATCACTGAGCTACATCCCCAGCTTTGAATAAGTTTGCAATGACCAATTGTTTTATATACTTCTTCTTTAAGAAAAGAATCTACTGGTAAGTGCGGGGATGCATTTAAAATCTAATTTAGCTTTTAAATTACTAGAACATTCTTTTTCCGCAATAACATCTTATTACTCTCCTCATTACCTAGATAACAAAGTCCAAATTCTGTGATCTGCTTCAGAAGTATGCTTCCAACTTTTCGTTTCCTCTCCTCCTTATTAAAAGCCTATCTCTAAATTGGATCATTTGCATAGCTATCAACTTTCATAGAAAATGAATTCTCACCACGCATCAGGTGCTGTGAAATGAGAAATGAAGAAGAGACAGCCCTTGCTCTCAAACAGCTCGCAGCCTCACCAAGGAGATGATGTCGTAATGGTTCCTTAGCATCCTACAGGTGTAAGACTTGAGATGTGCCCATAGCCTAAGTACAGATACAGCTCCCCTCCTTGCATGATGGGTAAACAGTTTACGGAAAAATTCACAAAAAAACTGGGTGTTGGTGGCGCATGCCTTTTATCCCTGCACTTGGGAGGCAGAGACAGGTGGATCTCTGAGAGTTTGAGGCCAGCCTGGTCTACAAAGCGAGGTTTTTCTCTGTTACACAGAGAAACCTTGTCTCATGGGGGTGGAGGGGGTAGAACTCATGGGGAGAAAGCAAACAAACTATAATTCACCAAACAAAAGACACACCAGATAAGGAAGCAGTATGCTCTCAGGCACAAAAGCTCAAAACAGAAATGTGGGTGTATTAGTCAAAGTTCTCTAAAGGAACAGAGCCTTCATAATGAATACATACCAAAGAGGGATGCATTAGTTTGGCTTACACAGTACACATGGGACAGTTGAAAAGATGTTGTCTGCATTCTACAAAAGAGCACCCAATGGCAACTCAGCCTGCGAGGCTGGATGTCTCAGCCGTCCCATTCTGCTGCTGAAGGTTTGGAGGACGCTTGGAGAGACATTAGCCTTGAGTCCACACCAGAAGGCTGAGAATCTGTGTTCTTATGTCAGTGAAGAACAGCAGAATAGATGGCTCATGAGCAAAGGGTGAAAGTGGGCAGGCAAAAAGCAATAACTCTTCTCTTGAAATTATTTGTATCTGGGCCACCGCTGGGAGGTGTCACCCACACTAATTAGTCCTTTCAGGGAATACTACTGTAGACCCACCCAGAGGCATATGTCTTAGTTGACTCTATGTCCAGTCAAGCTGGTGACCATGATTGATCAGCAGAGTGGGTCTGCTCAAACACTGATCATAGTTGTCTGATCATAGTTGGAAGAATGTGTAATATTTTCCACCTTCCGAATGTTCATCTGTTACTTCCTTTGATCGGGATTCATTTCTGCAGCCCTGCAGCCCTGCAGCCCTGAGATACTGCTTAACTGTTTATGAGGCACCAATTTCCTTAACATGACCTGTGTTCCTCATCCTTGACATTCGTGCTATAAGAAGTGTTTAGTTTGGGGACTTTCCCCAGCACTGTAAGAAGTTTAATTACAGCATAGAATTCTAGCTACTAACTTCCCCCCAGCGACATCTTACTGCCAATTATGAGAAACAGGAACCCCTTCATTCATTCTCAGTGATCCCATGGGAGAAGAAAGTAACTCAAGCTGAAAACCAGTGTCATAGGGACGTGTGGCCACCACCACTTTAACAATGATAAGAACAATGACTTGTTAGTAGGAAGGATCTTCAAGAAAACTTTGAATATATTCAAAAGCCTACAGGGATGTAGTGTGGGCGGTCCTTCTGTCTATGTGTTGCTTTTATTGGTCAATGAATAAAGAACTGCTTTGAGCCTATGGCAGGAAAGAGCAGAACTAGGCAGGGAAAGTTAGACTGTATGCTGGGAGAAATAAAGGAGGAGTCAGAGAAAAGCCATGGTGTCTCCGCCAGAGACAGACATGCTAAAACTTTGCTGGAAAGTCACCGCCATGTGGTAATACACAGATTAATGGAGATGGGTTAAATTAATATTTAAGAGTTAGCCATTAAGAAGCTAGAGCTAATGGGCCAAGCAGTGATTTAAATAATACAGTTTCTGTGTGATTATTTTGGGTCTAATCTAGCCAACAAGCGGCCTCCTTCCAACAGGATGGAGGATCCAATTTCACGTATTAACCAAATGAATATAAATCCAGTCAAATAGAACTGCACTATGTGTACACAGAAGAGTAGACTTCCCCAAGGGTGTGAGCACACTAGGTAAGCAAACAGTAATGGCAACAACTACAGCAACAACGTTCCCGAATGCAAAGCCAACAAGACAGTTTAACTCAGGGATCCAGATACATGATCACTGCACCTCAGTTGTAGATTTCCTATTCTTTGCTCTAAAATGGGACTTCTTGTTTCTAATTTCTTAAGTTTCCCATCTGTTTTGCAAATGGTATATTAATGTCTCCCATGAGAACTCCCATCTTATGCAACTTAGACTATCTGTGAAGGTAAACTGCAACCTATATGAGATTTCATAATTACTTTGTTTGGATCTCAAAACCATTTATAACTGAGTACAGGAATATTTGAAAATTAAGACTGCAGGATTAATACTTGAACATAAGAAATTAGCACATATTTGGTACTTTGTTAACTTGTAAGGACTAAAAGAAATTGGCCTGTGAGATGCTAACCTTGTGATTTAAATGTGTAATTTCAGCAACTATGTGAAAATTGAAAACTGAGATTAAAACTTATGGTTTACATAAAAAGTTGATAAACTCAGGAGAACTTAGGAATCTAGAGATTGACTTTGTTTTTAAAGAGAAAGGAGCTGAGAAGATGGTTCAGTGGAAGCACCTACCACAAATACGTCACCTAATACAAACCCTGACTGAAACTGTTTTATAGTCATATGTCTCATCCTTCATGAAACTGACTTTAACCTTTCTGTTCCAAACTGAAGCTGGAACAATGTAGGAAACAATGTAAAATTCTTGGAAAATGGAGGAAAACTTGAGAAACTTAATACATGGGTGCAGTAAGGGTTTTCCAGAAGAAGGAAAGCAGCAAATATGTGTCTAGTTAAATATGGAGACATTTCTTTTTAGAGAATTGGCTCATAGGGCTAAGGAGATGGTTTAATTAATAAAGTCCCACTTTTCAATCATGAGGAACTGAGTTCAGTCCGTAGAACCTGTGGAACAGAAATTTGGGGTGCATGCTTAATGCCCATGCTGGGGAGACAGATACAGGAAGATTTATGGGATTCACTGGCTAATAAGCTCTAGTCCAATGAAAGACTGTTTCAAAGGAAGTGCATAGTTTTTCTGAGGATGACAAATGAGGCTCTCCTCTGGTGCCATGTATTTATCTGGCACTTCAATACACCGTAGACTACTTCAGACGTTCAAGGATTCTGAGTTTGTTGCACTATTACAAAGCTCCAAACCGGTCATCAAAGGTGGAACCACACCTATAGACTCTAATTCAGTGATAGAAGGTACAGGTAACACTGTTGTGAGTTTTCAGAGTTCCCAGAATGGGCAGTAATAGTTAGACCTCTATACCTCTATGGCATCCACTGCATGGCCTGGGAACTATATATATATTTGTGTGTGTATATACGAATAATATAATATCAATATATTCAGTGCATACACTGAATACACACACGCTGGTTTGTATTAAATCCCCAAGGCATTCTTCAGTAAGTGCCTTCTCTGCTTTTGACCTCTCCATGCGACTTGCTTCCTAGTCATCCAGCTAGAGTCCATAATGAACAAGGAAGCCATCAGCATTTAGATTAAAAATCACAGGTGTGTCCAGACAGCCTGAGTCCAGCTGAGGCCTGAGGAAGTCACAGAATTTTCCATCTCCCAGGTAATCCCAGGCATTGAAATGTCCAGGAATCTCCAGCCTAAGGAAATCTCCATACATAGATTACCTGGAGAGAAAACATCTCCTGATGTGTTCTGGGAAGACTTGTCGGACCATCAAGGGGGGAATGAAGCACAAAACAAAAACGAAGCTAGAGAGATGGTTCAGCTGCTTGTGTAGCCGGAAGAGCATTTTCGCTGCCTGAAAATTAACCCAAGGATCTATAAACCTAATATTCAGCTTCCTATTTTATTAACAGACTATATCCAAAATGAAGTGGCCCAAAAGGATTATGGTCACTTCTGAAAGTCCTTCCACTCTGCACAAGGAGCCCAAAAGATGGGATTTGTCCTTTACTGGTCTGTCTTACAGGGTCATTTCTAAAAACACCACTACTAGAGGTATTACCAAAAGAATTTAGGAAAACCAGACTTTGTGTATAGCTAGAAAGATGACTCAGTGGTTAAGAGAACTGACTGCTCTTGCAGAAGATGCACGCCTGTTTTCTTGTGTCCACATGGTGGCTCACAACCATTGTAACTCCAGTTCCAGGGGATCTGATGCTTTCATTTGATCTTCATGGGTACCAGGCATGCAGGTGGTGCACATACGTGAACGAATACGAAACACTCAGACACACAAATTAAAACAAATAATATGTCTTTTCTTTTAAGTCAGACTGATGGGGACCATAGAGATGGCTCAGCAGGTGAAAACATCTGCAGCACCTGCCTGGTAATGTAAGTTCAATTATCAGAAGTCACATGAAGGCAATTGGAGAGAAGTGATGTCATAGATTTGGCTTCTTACCTTCATGTGCTCACATACACATAATACACCCGCCCACACCCACAGACAGACACACAGACACACACACATACACACACACTTTTAAAATTCAACTGGTTACTGCATCAGATTTTAAGACCCATGTACTGTTAGTGATTTGTAAGACTGGAGTGTAATTCCCAAACAAACATCTAGATGCTTTCAGTGGTAGAGAAAGAGTCTTTTCTAGGATCCCTCAGTAATGTTTCAATGGGGTGAATTTGAGAAAGTCATTGCTGTGGTGAGCCAGCTTCTGCACAGGGTGAAAGAGATGGGCTTTGATGCTGAAGGAGGGGAGCAACAGCTTGCAGGATTTGTCCAATTCCTCGGTTTGTAATAGAACAATGTCCCAGAACTCACTATCCTTTAAAAGAAGGATTTGAGGCAGTAATATAAGGATCCAAAAGTCTCTCTGGCGCTCTGATGTTTCTTTGGTGAGTGTGATGGATATTTTGATTGGCTAATTTTGTAGGGGAATGATCAAAGTTATGTACTGAATGTTTCCTGATCACTGTTTTTGCTGATTCTCTCATCTTTCACTCCTACTTCCCATCTTTTCTACCTTTCCTGATGGCTAAGGAAACTGATCCTACAACCAGACTAACTGGAGATGCAGCTTAAACTGAGCCCCTCACATTTTAATCTCCATCTCATATCTATAGGAATATGGCTAGATTAAAATTCAAGATTTTTTGGAATGAATAAAAACTATTGAGGGTGCTGTTAGGTATGGTTTATAGTCACTTGCTTTATAGAATATATTTTTCTAGATCTTCAAGGGAAGCACACTAAGTCATGAGAAACAGATTTTTTCATGAGTTTGTTTTAGCAATTATTTAAGGATAGTCTACTTATTAATGTTTTTATTTTCAAACCCCTTAATAATCCAGTTTACTCAAAAACATAAAGTTATCAGCTACTCTTGGCATGTTCCATGGGTCATTTGTATGACATACAAAGTCTGAAGAAATTTGTAGCTCATGGAATTCAATTTTGATCTCTCAGAGATGCCTCTTTTGTATCACACGTTATTTCTGGACCACCTTTGAATTTGCTAATCATTAAAATACTAGGAATTTCCTTTTAGATGATCATTGTTTGCAAAATAAAACTCTCATTCTTTTTATAACACAGATTTTATCTTATCCTGGGTTTCAATTTACTATATGCAAGCAGCAAAACTTTTCCCAACAAAGGTTTAATTAGAATGGTTAATAGCTATGATTTTCAAAGTGTCTGAGTCAGCCTTAGTAATAATTAGAGAATCTTGTTCCATACAAAATGCTTTATTTAACCTTCATGCCTTCATTCAGATAATTATACAAATGCATACAGATAAAGGTTTAAACTCTATTTCAGTTCACAGCTCAATTCATAGGAAAGTTGAATACAGAAAAGCAATGCACCAACAGAATATGTCTGAGACACCATTGAAAACGATAACACTTGTTCATTTAAACCTCTGAGAATAGAATGGAATACTCTTCTGAGAGAACCTCATTAGGAGAGTCTCCCTTTTCATTATCATAGGGCAAAAAAAATCACCATTTTACAGTAAAAGAAAAAGCTCTGAGTATATTTACAATACATACACTATACATAAATACAAGAACAACACTTACATAATATTAATAAACTCATAACAGGAGCTGCCTAAACACTACAGAGTATATAAATGCAGAGGAAACTATTAGGAAATTAGATGTTTAAGCTGAAGAAATAAATTCATTTGCAATTAAAATTCAGAACAGAAAGGCCAAACAAAGATGTAAGAACTCAACACATTTGCTTGCCAGTATCATTGGGGGATTTCATCTTTCAAAGTAGGCTCTCCTCTGGGCACTCTTAGCTCTCTGGGTCATATACCAGGAGTTTTGTTGTAAGATTAGATCCATAAAAATGAATCAGAAGCAGCCCAGCTATTCACTTTGCTGTGCAGAGGCTTCTAGCCTAGAATAACCACTTCGCAAACTATAGGACATTTTTTATATTTTTACACAGAACGATCTTGTGATAGAATGACCGTGTGTAATGAGCTAAGTGTTGAGGAAAATCAAAGAGATGCCTGCTTAATTTGGCCAAAGATGATGTTTTCTTTGTTCTCATATGTTTTTCAGATACGACTGGGAGATTTACTCAAAGGAATATGACGTCTGCGCTGACTGACCCTCTCCACCAAGAGAAATGTCTAGACTACTACTAATTATAACTAAGTCATTTTAAGTGGCAGGTGGGTAGCTTAAAGGTGGTCTGCTCTCATCATTTCACAACACAGACAGTGCCTAGTACATCCTTCTATGGACAAACACGAATGTGCTGGTTTCTCTTTGTAAAAAGTGATCATGATACATATAATTGCATTCTGAAGCAGGATGACATCATACATAAGACAATGTTTTCAAGCTGGTTTTATTAAGGAGTTATCTCACATCCATCCATAGTTGGTTTGCCATGTGATGTAATGTGTCCCACATAGACATGAACAAAACAATACAACCACCACACCACCCCATGAGGGGGAGACAGTGGTTTTCAAAAACGAACCTTCAAACACAACACATTGTACACAGACAAGTTGATAGGAAAGAGCCTTGTATGTAGGCACCAGTGCCCAGTTCAGTAATACTCACTGAATGTAATAATCTGAGGAACAAAATGTACTCTATAGTCTGGATACAACACAAAACTCTGTCATGAGATGGCTAGAAAAATGAGTAGGGGAAAAATACATTTTCTATTATGTTTTTTGTTGTATTTTTAGATAATGAAATGAGCAGAAAAGGAAGATGTCAAAATATCCCTAAAATAACTTAGTTTTTGATTGACTGGACACTTTTACTTGTAGAATTGGAGCTGAATTCTCTCCTATAAACCCTCATTTCTCAACAAAAATTAATCTCTGTCAAAGACTTGGCTACCTTGCTTTTGAAAAAGAATCACTCACAACAGCAGTCACTGAAACACTTCACATTTCTGGAGATGAAATGCAGAAAGAAAAGGTTATTGATGTGCCTGTTCCCACTATTCATTTCTTGTCAACCCACTTAGAGTGGTGGCATTGTCATCGGAGAAATAATTGTTGTTGAAACTCAATTAAGTGACAGGAGTCTAAGTCTACAGGAGATGGGAGACATAGACACTTGCTTTCAGCATGGAAGAGAAGTGGCTTTTGCAGCTTTTATCTCTTCCCCCAGCCAACTAACAGGGAGAACGATCATAATTCAGTGGATTCATTTTCAGAAACTGAAACACTCTAAGAAATGGCATTCTTAATGTTTTCAAAGTCCATTAGCACTGCCATGAATCAATACTGTCAGAGACTTTCTTCTATGCAGAAAGGGAAGGATTTCATGTCTCTGATGTTAGGCAGCTCCCCACATAAGACTCAAGCTAACAATACTATAAGCAAATTACTTATGAGATTATTTAAAACATTCCAAGACAGTGCTGTATGTGAGAACCCTGGAAAGGAACTGTCCACTGGTCATCTCAATGCTGACATCAACACCCTATGGACACCTGTTAGGAAGTACCTCTACAGAGGGGAGGGTTTTAGATATAGCCTTGCACAAGTTATCACAGGTCTGTGTTAGGAGAAAAGAAATGACTACACATACAAAGAAATATGAAAATTGAGAAAAAACTACCTGGGACTAAATTAGAGTAATAAGTAAGAAGGGTTTCAAAGATTTTGGGAGTTCTGGGCAAACATTTGGAAGAAATCAACAAGTTTAGGGAGGTCTGTGGTTCAATGTTTGTCTAGAATTATTGCCCATCAGTGAGTTTCCAGGAAGGGATGGATTTCAAATCCTCTGTACCATTGTCTGATGTAGGAGGTTCTTCTGTCTATGTGTTGCTTTCATTGGTTAAATAAAGAAACTGCCTTGGCCTTTTGATAGGGCAGCACTTAGGTGGGTGGAGTAGACCGAACTGAATGCTGGGAAGAAGGGCAATGTAGCAGATGCCATAAAGCTCTTGCCCAAGACTGATGCTGGTTGAAATCTTTCCCGATAAGCCACGACCTCGTGATGCTATACAGATTATTAAAAATGGATTAGATCAAGATATGAAAGTTAGCCAATAAGAGGCTAAAACTAATGGGCCAGGCAGTAATTTAATTAATATAGTTTCTGTGTGATTATTTCAGGTGTAAGCTAGCAGGGCAGCCAAGACCAAAAACAGGCCCACTCCTCCTACAATAATTGTCAATTCATCTGCTAAATCATCTGCTAGATCATATTCCTACAGGGTTCTCATAACAAACCCAAGCTAGACACTGGGAACATGGCAGCCAGGATGAGGAAACAAAGCTGTGTGCTATACTACAAAGAAGACAGGCTGCAGAGCCAGGAGGCCCTCTTGACTTATTCTGTGTCCCTGGATATCTCAGCTGTTCTCATTGTGCCTTGGTTTCCCTTACATGAAGGGGAGACCAGTTGTACAGACTGGAGGGACCGTGTTAAAATCCCTCAGCGTGAGCTTTAAACCTCCCATGGCACTTCAGCACTTTCAGACAACACACGGGGAGGAGGAAGTCAGAATGTCTGATGTCAGTGTGACCAGGGAATAGGGTAGCTGTGCTGTGACATAGCACCTATTTGTTACTCTCTCTCTCTCCCTCTTGATGTATGTGTCCTCATCCCTCTTCTATGAAATAGAGTAGGGTAAAGAGCAGATGGTCTTCTTGACCTGAGGTTGGGGCCTGGAGAATGCTGTCCACTGCAGTTCCACACTGACTAAAGCCTGAAGGCTTATTCCCTGCCATACATTGGGAACCATTATTACTGAGTGCTTTGCTCTAGTATAGCTTTGCTGGTAGCCTCGATAGCTTGTCCAGGTGAATTCATGCTCTGAGATAGCAGGGCTGAAGAACACACCGGTTCGTGTCTATGTCCAGTCTTATTGTTTATCTCTACCTATGACTCCACTTGTAGCCATAAAACAATTTGAGGAAAAAAAACTTGTGAACTTCGGAATGTACACAATGAGGTAACTGCCAGGATTAACTAAATAACTGTCCGAAGGCCTCTGCAAGTATCACAAGATTTTTTTTTGGGGGGGGGACTTGTCAGTGTTGACCTCCATATTCTACTTGATACCAGGATTTATTAGGTGAAAAGAGAATGAAGCCCACGAGATAGACTTGCACACTGATGTAAGTGGGTAAGATAAAGGAGACAAAAGTCTCTCGCTGTTTCACACTAAGTGCATCAGCGTTTTTAACTGAGCAAGTCTTTCAGAGCTCTGTTATAAATGTGAGGTACACTTTATCTGCATATTGTAATTGCTCTACATTGTCAGGTACACGGAAGATAACTTTATTTCCCATATTCACCCGATCATATTCGAGTAAGACAAATAAAATTAAGAGATATTAATTGCAAATAGGGTCACTTATACTTCAAAGTGACGAAAGCCCTTTTCTGTGGGTTTGTGGGAACAGATCTAATTTACTATGTGCATATATTTACTCTGTGTGTGCTCAAACCGTGCAGGAAAAACTCGGTATGAGGAAGAATTATTGCTGTGTGAAAGGATAGGATTATCTCATTGGTCATATTCATTGACAGGCACTTTCAGCGTTTAATTCGTTTTTGAAAAAAATGGGCATTAACTTTTTCCTATTGCCACTACAGAGTCTTTTACTATGTGGCTATATCCATCCACTTAACCTCATCAACATGTACTTACATTGGAAAGCAACCCCTCTGAAACTTAAAGAATAAACACCTGATTTTATTTTTTTCAACTGAGAACCACTTTGCTGAGAAGGATACTGAGAAGAGAGAATGATTGCTAGATGATTTTTCTAGAACAAGCACATCTCCATTTTTCCCTTTTCAAGAAAAGACAAATGTGAAGAAATGATGTTTTCTGAGTTTTAAATCATTCTGGTTAAGCTATGACAAGCGGCCACTCCGTTCTGACCAAGCACCAAGAACATCAACTCCAAGAGGGACTATTTTCGGTGGTAACATCACCAATTGTGAGTACCATCCACACACAAGGCATAGCTGAATAAGTGTTTTTTTTTTTATTGTGATGAAAGCTAGAAGCTTTCCCCCAGCATATGTCATCAAACTATTTACAACCTCTGTAAAATTGGCGTGTTTGAAAATACTTTGTCCACTATCACATATGTTACGAATACAGTAAAATAGCTTCACTCTATTTTTTTAAAGATGCAGTACCCTTCCATTTTATTTTCTTATGAAAAATCTGAATTTCTATTGCAATTGCTCAGTATTTAGCATATTTAAAATACCAATGGGCATGGTTTGCTAAACAGACATTACTCTATAATGAAATTGTGAAAATATAGCATTTTGAATTTGTATATACATTTCTTAACTATAAAATGCAGGCAAAGTTACATAGTAGTATAAGCTGATTCTCTAGTCAGGTAATAACTTACATTTCTACATAGTACGGATTATTACAAAGTATTTCTTGTACAAAAGTTCTTTGTTGATATTTAGTCGCCTGTCGGCTGCTGCGTGTACAGGTGTGTACACACAGGTGCATGTGTTGGGGGGGGGGGGGTGTCTGTCCAGGTAAGTGAAAGGCAGTGTGGGAGCAAGTAGAAATGTAATATGGAAGACATGATTGGTCAAATCTCTTCCCGAGACTAAACCAAGACCGGTTCCTTCTGCAGGGAATCCAACCTCAGAACAAGTCAAGGAAGAGATTTGGCTGATGGCATTCATTTATGTGACAAACTTAATGAGAGTGGGGTATGAACTATGAGTATTAAGGCTTCCTGGGCCTATGGTGGTTCATCAATATCAGTTCACATTCGATGCTTTCTAGGCAGACTGCATGGGTGCTGGTATTGCCTCTGCTTCGGTTCTATGACTTCTCAATATAAAAGTGATATAACAGCCTTGGAACACCCTCTCAGCTACTTTTCTAGGCAGTCACAAGAAGAAAACAAAGGCATATTAATACTACTGAAGGCCTCACCTCACCAGATTTAGTCAATTGCAGCTTTGGTACATATAATAAACAAAGTAAGACTCCGGAATACTGCATCTTTATCCATAGACACGTTAACATTCTAATGAACTGATCTCAAAGTGCAGACTTACATTTCCATTCAGACACAATTGGCAATTTGGAGTTAAACAATTTGTATAAAAATGAATACAGTCTTTGCATGAGCTATTCCAAATTTCCCTCATGACGAACATAGCTTTTCTAATCCCCTAGAACTTTCATTTGTAAACAGTGAAGCATTTTGAAAGACCCCGCCCCTAACTCATCTTCCTCTATCCCATTTAAACTTGAAAGTAATATTTAAAAGTGCTTATTTTACTCATGTAACTGACCCTCAACTTTTTTAAAACAAAAAGCGTACGCGTTTTGTAAAGGCAGTGTGGTATAATTCCCATGGTAGAGCCATCAGGAACCTCTTTCTAAATGCCATAACAAAACTTCAAATCAAGCAGTGTCCCAAGCAATCGACAGCAGGAGGCTGGAGCTGAATGGGAAGTTTCTCTCCGAACAGCTTCAGGTTAGAATATAAGGGACTCTCTGTAAACCCTCAAGTAGCCCAACTCCCTTGTCATTGGTCTTCACCTTGCAGGGAGACAACCATTTCTTCCGGCTTGTCACCCAGCATTATCAACCACACACGAGCTCCCTAGCTGCAAGCTGAACCACTTCATATTTGAAGCCCAAACATGCTCTGCTTAGGGAACACCAAGAAGTCCTTCAGGATTCTTTCCCTTTTTCAATAGTTTCTCATATACTGTGCTTTTCGAGAAGCTAGATTTGCACATAAAATGCCTGGAGGCTTTTCTGTGCCCAAGGATATCATATTTCCTTCAGTCCCTAACCACCTGCCTTTATACAGGAAACACATCCAGGAAGTTCACCAAACAGGACTGTTTACATCCCTTAGATGAGTTTCAAGTGAGTTTCAGTTCTTGAGCCAGATCAGAGACATGTTCACTTGTGCTTAGATCCTTTCTAAAAACATCACTGTGTCAAAAGGAGGGGGATGCTGTAAAGATGGCAGGTTTCATCAGTGATCTTACCATCACAGTCTGCTTCCCACTTACAGGGAGTGAGTGGGGAAAGCTTGCTTCCCCAAGTCTTTCCTAAGCGGTTAAATGCAACTCCTTTCATTCTGTGCTAAATTTAAATCAAGATGTCACTCAGGAAGCTTCCCCTGCCTGTCAGTTCAATGAATTCTACCTGTAAAACTTGCAAGATGTCTGTCTCTCAGTGGGAAAAGGATTGGCTCTGATGAGAGCAGACAGAATGAAGCCAAATCTATCCTTCACTTGAGTGACTCCCTACCAACCTGCCAACTAGACTCTGGGGCCAGCGCCTGGGGAGATCATGGTTGCTTGCTACTGTCTGAGTTCTTTGCACTGGCCAGTTACTAATGCTGGCATGCATCAGGAAGCCTGTTTTTATTCTGAATGATAACAGGCAATGAGAAGTAGGAAGTGCATACAGTACAGATTAAAAAAAAAATGTTCCAGTTGGTTGGAAAAAAAAAATCGCACTGGCTGGTGAGTACCAGCCCGTGTAGCTGAAGCTATTTATCAATAGAACTGCAGCCCTTGTTAGAAGGAAATTGCCTGATGAGTTCTTCAGACCTGGCAAAAAATATAGAGCACATATTTTTGAAGCCAGGACTTGATCTGTAAATCATAATACTTTTGCCTGAACATTTATTAAAACTCCTTTAAAAGCGCTCCAACCCAAGCCATTCTCCTAGTAGTGTTTATAGTCCTTGCTTTGTCAGAATACAATCACCCAAATTAGAAACGGATACTCTAAAGGATAACTCTGTCACCAGACATCCTTCTAGAATGTGCAGACATTTAAAAATGAGCTAGGAATATTATGTGGTTAATTTGTGCAATTTCCCAAATCAAGCATCTGTCACTGAAATATATTGCAAAGGTCTTTGTTGGAGACCTTTATAGTTAAGCTATAAAAAGAAATCTTAACAACAAAAATCTCACCAAGCCCAATTACCACACAAAGCTGGGAAAACAACAGCTTTTAGTGGGGACAAAATATGATACTATATTGGAATGAGTGCTTGTTGGGGATGTATTGCTTTTCCTGTATATTTTGCTAGATACAAAAGGTTCTTCATTTGAGGGGGACAATGGAACCTGACTTTCTCATCCTTCTCCCAGGATAAGCAAGTTATCTGTCCCTGTGGATGCCAATGGGGGAACATGGGGAGATTCCGGGCCAGCTTATAAAGTGAACCATGTAGAGAAGAATCCACGGGAGAGTCGGAATCTTGGCTCTCCAGGTTGAAGAAGCAGCACCAAGGTGGACCTCCACGGACCCCTCTTTCCAAGGACTCATGCCCAAGCTGAACAGCTCCACTGACTGAAGAGTTAACCTTCAGCTCTGCCTAGCTAGTCACCAAAAGAACTGTTGCCAAGCGAGAAACGAGGAGCATAATCTTTACTCGTGGTACTCGAGCAAGTAGGACGACAAAGAGCAGAAAGATGACCTCAGTGCCGTCACTAGGGCCTCTGAATGGAGCCAAGACATCTGAAATGCTGGGGTGTTTTTACAATCCCTTTAGTAAGTATGAAAACTGGTAACGTGAGTCCTCAGTGGAGCAATTGTAGGAAAGTCCTTCTATTCATTATTGCTTTTCTCCTCCAGAGGAGCGTTATTTCCACCTCTGTTTTGTCTCATTTTCATGCTCACTGACTTTGCATGGGCAGCCCCACCTCTTCCCTTGGTGCCAGTGTGTCTAAGAAAGCTCCCCTCCCCCTTGATTCCTTGTAATCGAACACGAAGGGCAGGGAGAGATGATGCCTACGTGACAGAACACTGCAATTTGAAGTGGGGCGGTCGTTATGATTATGACTGTTGTTGTTATCGGGTTTTTTTTAGACAGGCTCTTCCTATTCAACTACAGAACGCCTCTGCCAGTCCATGCCAGGGCAGAGCAGAACTAGCCTTTGAGAAACTGCTCTGCCCCCCTGCCGGGACGGATGAACAAAACATGATCAAAACAGAACAGAAACAAGCAACGACAAACAAATGAATAGACTCTTGGTTCTCTTCAGGAGATGAGCATGAAGACAAGGTGTGAGCGCTATCTAGGTCCGCCATGACTAGCATAGAGAGCTACCTCTGTGTGCCTTCTTTTGGGGTACCGGAGCTTCCCCAACAGCCCCTTCCTTTCTAGTTCGTGCTGTTTGCTGGTAACAGACTGGATGTGTGTTCTGGCTTACTGAGATAGGAACTGAAATTTTTATCTAAAAGGTTTGGGGGTGGGGGAGGTGCCATGGAAGAATCATCCGAACTGAGGTCTTCTCTAACATCGATTTGCGGTAGATGACCTTTAAGGGACTGATAGCCGAGTGTCTGGCCAGCTCGGGAAATGTACAAGCTACAAACATCTTTCCAACGGCAGAGGACAGAGCATGGAAAAACAATGCCTGTCTCTTCAGGACCTGAGGCGCTGAACCCCCAGGCCAGTGTGCTTGCAGCAGCTCTTCCGCGGGGTGATCATGATGGGGGGTTACCTTCAGGCTGAAAGGAGAAGGGTTCCTTCTTGTTCCTGCTCTGGTTTCAGGCACCGTGGGACGGCGGTGCTGTTGACGTTAACACTGTAGAGGGGGCTCAGCCCTGCTGAGTTAGTCGCTCTTTAAGAGACCCAGCTCTTATGCCCAGCTGGACTACGGGAGCCTTCCTCACACCAGCATGTGCCTCCTCCGGTGCAGGGCCAGGTGATCTGACCTCGAGAAGCTGCGATCACAGTCCGCGCACTTGAATGGCTTCACTCCCGTGTGTTTGCGGTAATGCCTGGTCAGTTCATCCGAGCGGGCAAACTTCCAGGTGCAGCCTTCCCACGTGCATTTGTAGGGCTTCTCTCCTGGAAGAAACAAAGACACACAAGCTTTGGGGCTCCATCCTTTTTCTGTAAAGACCCAGCCAGCCCTGAATGCTGGGAAAGCATTGTCAATGGATGTTCTATTTGACAGGTCTCTGTGAGTAAACCTTACCATCCCATGGGGAGGGGGGGCTTTGGGGACTGAGAGGTGAGTTTCAGTTTCCTGCTGTGACATCAGTGAAGACATCAGCTAACCTTTGGATGTGTGGCTGAGGAGTAATTCTATAGGCACAATGGGAAGAAGAGGCTTGCTCTTCACGCTGGTGGGCTAAAGGGGAGTACTAACACCCCACAGAGTCTGATTCGGCTCTGTGGCTGGAAATCATAAATGACAGTAAACAGTACTTAGCTCCATTTTAATAGGCCCCTTTCCCTTCAGAATGTGCATCGCTTCAATGCTATAAGACTGTATAGGACATGGAGTCCACTTAGCTCTCATCCAAGGAGTCCACATCACTTCATTACAAGGTAAAACAACCCAGACATGAGACATATGCTATTCACGAACATCTCCATTTTGTTTGTCCCTTGGGAAGAAACCTTAGGCAGACCAGCAGTGCCAAAGTGAGTGTGGTTTTCAAGACTAGAGAACCAAATTGAGCCCGAGGAATCCTGAAGTGGGACTGAATGCTCAAAGTCCTTGTAAAAAGCCCGAAGACGGGTGTAACTTGACCACGCTCTCCAGTCTCCTTGTAAGGACAGTAAAATATCCAAAGCCTGTGCTGGGAAGAGATAGCCTATCCATTGTCCAAATGGGCTCCCAGGGGGAGCGAGACAATAGCTGACCCGGGTGCACTGTTTTCCTAGCTCTCTTCCAAATGGAAGCCCTGTCCCCGAGCAACCCCGCAAAACTGATCTCTCCTGTCCCATCTGCCCAATGGGAGCCTCTAGTGACAGCAGGGTAGGCAGCTCATGCTAACCCTGCGCATGAAGCTGGAAGGCGTCCCCCACTCCACGGGAGAGAGAAACTGCCCAGTGTGGCACGGTAACTTACTCAAGGCTCCACGGAAGAAAATGTCCCTGGCCCTGAATCCAGCACCTTTCACCATGCTCCAGAGGAAAGGATAAACTTCATTACGTCCTCAGAGCCTGCTGGTTCTTCTTTGTTCGGTGCTCTCAGTCTAGATAAATCCTATTTCAGTTACGTCACTAACACAATGCACCACAAAGACCTTACCTTGATGCCCGTCTCCTCGACCCCCAGAGCCTAGATTAGGTCCTAAACAAATTCAGCTGTTAAGTTAGTGTTGGGTCTTAGCATCAAGTGGTTCAGTCCCCTGGAATCTAGAAATGGCGAGGCACTAGCTGTGGCTGCAGGAAGCACCAGAATATTCTAAAAGTACCCACTCAAGTGAAAGCATACTGACTGTATTGACAGTTTTTGTGTTGACAGAAAACCTCAACTTTGAATTCATTCTAGTTGTTCCAAGAAGACAGCATATGCACTTGCCTGTGCTTACTGACCAGAGTTCTAGAGAAACAAAGCAACACAAACCAGGTAAGTGTCTCACGGAGGTCGAAGATCTGTAATCGAATATATTCCTGACAATGAGTCGCATGTATTTACATGTTGAATACTACAGAAGTTTATTTTTTTTTAGATTTTTTTTTTCTGTATGAGTTCTGGCAGTTAGCACAATATACAGAAATATATTTGCCCCAATGTTCTTCTGCCTTTGCTACCCTGAGTTGATTGGTTGTCACCAAGAGACATCTCCTAGCAGTGGCTTATGCTATGAAGAAATTGCCCAGGGAGAAAGTGTAGAAGCTGAGGTAGGAAGGAGAAAGGGTCTTCTTCCCCCTTCCCCACATTATTGAAAATAATTTATTAAAAATAGCTTTCTTTTTAACATAATATATTTATGGCTTTCCATCCCTATACTCCTCCCAAATCTTCCTTCCATTCAGATCCACCCCCCTTCTGTCTGGGATGATAAAATAAAGTTAAGTAAAAACAAAAAGTAACACAAAACAAACCATCAGTAGGAAAAAAGCCCAAGAAAAGACACAAGAAACAGATATAGCCACAGAGACCCATTCGTTACAGGCACTCAACTGGAAGCCATAATAGATACGCAAAGGACCTATATGGTAAAAAGAAAGAAAAAATGTAAGTAAATTAAAAATAAGATAAAACTTAAAAAAAGAGAAAAGCTCTGACATGTCACTAGGAAACAAGGAACCTCCGAGGATGCTGACGCGTTCACTCTGTTGGCCGTCTGCTGCTAGGCATTCCAGTTCATCTCCCCAGCCAGACTCCCTTGGAGAAAACCACTTACAAATAAAATTGGTTATCAATGGTAGATAGAGCCTGTGTCAGGGGCCATTCGCCCACTTCTCCTTTCGGCTCCCATGCACCATCTAGTGCAGATCCTTGCTGGCCCTGTGTGTTTTGCCTCAGTCCCTGTGAGTTCATGTGCATATTGGTACTGCTGTATTTAGAGGGTCTTGTTTCCTTGATGCCCTCCTCCCCTCTGGCTCTTAGACTCTTTTTGCCTCTTCTTTAGCAGGGTTCCCTAAGACCCAAGGAGGGGAGGGCGTTTTTGATAGAGACATTCCATCGAGGACCGAGTGTTCCATGGTGTCTCTCTTTCTGAGCGATGTCTGGCTCTGAGTCTCTGTCTTTTCTCCCATCTCCTGCGGGAGGAAGTCTCTCTGATGATGGCTGAACGGATACTATGAGTATTGCATTTGTCATTATTTTGCTACATTTTTTTTTAGAACATTAGTATTTGGTTTTGGGCTATCCAGACTCAGGTTCTTGATCACCCAAACATTATCAGGTTTGGGGTCCATTTGGTGGAGTGGGCCTTACGTCAAATCAAATGTTGACTGCTTACCCTCATGAAGTCTGTGCCCCCTTTGCGCGAGCATAGTTTTCAGACAGTATGCCATTGTCGAGCAAAGCATTTGTGGCTTGCTTGGTGTTTAATTGGCTGACTGAAGCATACCTCCATTCCCATACCAAAGACAAAGGGGTCAAGGCCTATGTAGTTACCAGCTTGACTTCTCTGTGTCTAATAGTTTGTGGAGATGTTGTCTTCAGCAATGAGACCTTGATGTCAGTTTGGGGAGAGCAACTTATAGCCTTGGCAACAGTCTAGGTTGTTTGGGGGTTTCCATAAAGACCCCTTTGGACAATTATTAGATGTAACCCAACCCCAGTGCTGGAAGCTTCACTTGATGACAAGAGATGTCTAGTTGAGGCTGTTCTGTCTCTTCTATTGTTTGGCCATTTAGGTCACTGTCTTATATACACACATTTTACACAGTTTTACTACTATATTTCATACTACCCTTTAAATGGCCCTTAGCTTTTCCCTCCCTCGACCCCTTTCTTCCTGCTACTCCCTCGATTCTCCTGTTCCAGTCCCTCCCCATACATCTATAACTGTCTATTTTATTTCTCTTTCTTAGCGAGATCTCACTGTCCCTCCAGTCACTCAGTCTATACCTAACCTCTGTGATTCTATGGATTATAGCTTGGTTATCATTGACTTAGCAGCTAATAGTCACATATAACCTTATTTATTTTTCTAGATCTATGTTACCTTACTCAGGATTTTTCCCCCAGTTCCACCCATTTACTGGCAAGCTTCACAGTTTCATTTTTAATGACTGAATAATATTCTATTGCGTACAAGTTTCTTTATCCATTCATCTGTTGAGGTTGTTTCCAATTTCTAGCTATAGAAAATATGTATTGTAGAGCAATGAACATATGTGAGCAGCTGTGTCTGTGGCAAGAGAAGGCATCCCTTGGGTGTGTGTCCAGGAGTGGCACAGCTGGATCTGGAGGTCAACTGATTCCCATCTTTCTGAGGAACTGCCTCATTGATTTCCACAGTGACTGTATGAGTCTGCACACCTACCCACCGCCATGCATGTGTTTTCCTCTGACTCCACATCCTCACAAGCAAGAGCTGTCCCCTGTTTTCATGATCTGTGCCATTCTAACAGGTGTAAGGTAAATTCTCAAAGTGGTTTTGATTTTCATTTTCCTGAGGTGAAGCATATTGAACATTTCTCTAAGTGCATCTTGGTCATTTGAATTTCCTTTTTTGAGAATTCTCTGTTTAGAGCTGTACCTCATTTTCAAACTGAGCTGTTTTATTGATATCCAGTTTTGTGAGTTCCTTATATATTTTGGATATCAGGCCTCTATTTAATGGATAGTTGGTTTTAAAAAAAAATCTTTTTTCATTCTGTAGGTTACTGCGTCCTGTGAATGACTGTGTCCTGCGCCGTGCAGAAGCTTCTCACTTTCATGATGCCCTGTTGGTTAACTGTTGATTTTAGTGCCCGGGCTATCAGTGTTCTATTCTGAAAGTTCAAGGAAGGCTCCTCTTGGTGGGAGAAAAGCACTGCTCAGTTGTGTGGTAGGATGATGCCTGTTTCTATCCTGGTGAGGAAGTAGCAGACGAGATTATTGTGGGTGGAAAATAGGATGTGAAACTAGGAAGCCCATGGCATGAGGTTAGCTAGGGGAAAGAGGCTCTAGGTCCTCCTCGTAGGGAACAGGCGAAGCTGGTGTGACCCAAAGCACAGACAGTTTGATGCCAGGCATGGATTAGACTAGCATGTCGAATACAGGTACATATAGTCTCCAATTTACTTCTCACAATTCGTTTGCCAATTTAGCAACGGTACTTCAGTCTTTTCTATTTGATAAATATATAGAAGGGATTTGTCATCTATGGTCTCCACTGTTACATTTTTAAATATGGAAGGAAAGATGGGAAACAGGAATAGAGAGAGTTCCAGAGAGTCCCTGGTACAGAGTAAGGCTCTGTCTTAAAAAACAAACAAACAAATAAAAAAAAAAGCCAAGTGTAGGCTTGCACAATAAAAATAGAGCACAGCGACAGCCCGCCACAGCGACAGCCCGCCACAGCGACAGCCCACCGGTTTGTTACTCTTGCTTCTGTTCCTCACCAAGATGGCCACCGCTGCCAGGGGGAGAGTTCTGTTCATTTCTTTAG